GCGCAGTGGGACATATTGGCGGTTTGAACACCTCTGGTCTTCTTAGCCAAAGATCTGATATCATCTTTGGTGAATTCCACCTCCGAGCGCCCGATGGTGCGAACCATCAACACCTTGAGCTTGCTCGCAGCCGGATCTATCTGGCTTAGCTCCACGAGCTGGCGCCATCGCAGCCATAGGCCGAAAATGGTCCAAAGCACCAGCGCCGCCACAAGAGCAGCAACACGGGCTACGCTACAATGCATCATTGTGGCTGCAGGATGGCGTCGCGACAAAGGCAGTCACAAGCAAAGTATTAGGAATGCGTGCGCAACAGCACTCGGAGGAGTTCAAGCCTCCAAGCTATTTCAACCTCACAGAGGTTCGACACATCTGTTTGTTCAGGGGCTCTTGCCCGCATAGCAGGAGGGTTTAGGGTGCAGGCCCATGCGACTTCAGATTAAAGATACCTCGTCATGCTTCTTCAATTCTGCGCAAAGCTGACAGACCACAGGGGATGCCATTCTCAAGCTCTTGGCACAAGGCTACAGTTTTGAGTTTATGGGGATTCGAACCGCGGTTTCGGGGCAGGGCAGGCGAGGCCCATACAGATCTGTCAGATCACATGGTGCAAACGGGGAGGCTACCAAGGCTTCGAATTTAGGGCCTAGGCCTCAACCGTAAACCCTGAAGGAGCTGCTCTCTTTTGATCTGTAGAGCTATGTCGGCGCCGCGGTCTTAGCAGCTCCGCCGGATGTCCGTTGACTGCGGCATCCCAGGAGATTTTGCATCTATCGTACCCCACTATTGTAGGTTGCAAACAGGGTTATCATGACAATAGGGTACCATAACACGGATCTACAAGGCATTAATGGAAGGTGCTACTCGGGTACGACTGCAGTGTAGCATTATGGGACACTGTCATAGGGACACTATTCTAAATAAAGGTATTGTCATCGGGGTAATATGATACGGTACTATGCGGGAAGCCGGGTGGGAGCTATGGGCGTGCCAGTTTAAGGTTTCAAGGCAGATAAAAGTTTGACAACATTACCACATGCGCGGCTGCACAGCAGTCTTGACGATTGAAGCCATTTCCATGCCACCGGACTCCTCAGTTTCAGAGGCCATCTGGACATGCAATCCCGATGGTTCCCTACGACGGCGGACCGTCACGCTTGCTTTGAAGCACGCCCAGGTGGTTCCGGATAGCCGGGGGATCATGAACAGCTTCTCACGGGACCCACAAAGGTCGCAGTAGCAATGCCCTGACGGTACCTCTAAGTACTAAAACATCCCTAAAAACATTAAAAGAAACTAAGAAACCTTAAGCCCAGAATGCGACATCATGAACGAGTCAGTGTAGCGAAGAGCTGATTGGAGGCACATGGCAGCACTTCGCATTTTGCTTTAAAGCTTCTGCCCCACGAACGAGCTACGAAGCTTGTAGCCTCCAGCCTCCGCCGGGGTCCCAATGTTGGTGAATAACCTTAAACCCGTTTAGGGTTTAGGGTTTAGGGTTTAGGGTTTAGGGCCCTAGACTCTAAACCGTGAACCCTAAACACCTTCTTTGTATCAGGACTTGTGCAATCGTCCGAAACTCCTGAGCCCTAAACCCTACGCCGAAGCCTCAGAAATACGAATGACCGGGCCAGGGATCCCAGTGAGACAACGCAGGCAGTTGCAGGAGAACCTGTATAGTACGATATTGGATGTGTATTTCATTATTATGGTATATTGTTGTATGGTACGAGTATAGTGTAGTATAATGTGGCATGTATAGTATAGCACAGTAAAACATAATATAGAAAATCTTTGCAAGCAATATAGTATAGTATAGTATAGTATAGTATAGTATAGTATAGTATAGTATAGTATAGCATCGTTTTGTATGGAATACATGACACCACCAGAGCCTCTCGTCTTAACGCAGACTCTCTTGTAACTGCCTCTGTGAAAAAAAGACGAAGCCTCCGACGTCAGGCAAGCTGCTGCCTAACGTGGAGCCCGGCGTCTCGTTAGCGCCAGCCCACCAAACAGCTGAGCCGGTTGCTTCGCGCTCAAGCACCCCTGTGTTCCAACCGTCCAGCCCCAGAGCTCTCCCTAAACCCACAACCAAACAGGCCCCCTCCTCGATCTCACCCCGGCACAGCACCTGGCCAGCTAACACCCGACAGTGGCTGCCCCTGCTGCGGCGCGGCCATCATCATCTCCACCTGGCGCTTGTTTTCGTGGCATAAGGGCTTAGGTTCACAACCCCCTTTTTTGCTTCCAGCCTGCACATCTACTAGGAACCCGGAACCCCTAAAAACCAAAGCCTACACATCCCTACACCCCAAATCCAACTTCAGGGCTGGAGTTGAATGACTTCGGGCCTTAGGGCATGAGAAGCCAGAAGCCGGATCTAGGAATCCTTTTAGCTTAGGGCCTTAACTTAAAGGGCCTTAAAGGACCTTAGGGCACTGAAGGCTCAGCTGGAAAACTAGATGGGAAGGGTTTAGGGTCTTGGATTAGCACCAGGAATTCTCGTCGTGAGTGCTTTCCTGCTGCGGAGACTCAACTACAGGCCAACTGCCCGAACATCCGAGAACCAAAAACCCTAAACCCTAAACCGGAACCAAAAGGATGGCGGCAATTAGGCCGATGGCTGCAAATCTCCGGTAACTTTTAAAACGTCAGCCGGCTCCCTGGGTGTGGGGCTGTGTTCGGGTTTAGGGTTTAGGGTGTTCATACACTCTCAAACCTTGGACGAACCCCAACCTTGACCCGCGACCCTCCCAACCTTGAAGCTTGGCATGACAGGCTGCTGTAGCGGCGCGGTCGGGGAGGCCTTCGCGAGTTGGGTTCTCTCCCTGTGTCCTGCAGGTCCCCAACATAGTACAGCACCCTTATCCACAGGACCCTAAAAGGGACCCTAATTTAGAGAACTACCCAGATACCAATTTTTGCTCGTCGGCGGCTTTGCTCCTTTTTCTTCTGCTACTGCTTCTGCTTTGCTTCCGTCTCCCTGATGCACTCGTCACCCCGCGCGTTCGAGGTTGCGCGAGAGAGCCTACAGAATCTAATCAGAATCGTGGTGCAGGCAAGGCTACGTAAAGATGTCACGTGTTCGGATCGAGCTACAAGGTTCAGGGCGATGGCATAACTGGCTCGAAGCTAGGCTCGAGGGCGTACTGAGAAGGATCTATAGGGCTTCTGCGGCTTCTTCGCAACGGCCCGGCTTTTTCTGCTGGCTGGTCAGTGAAGGAAACTCAGCAGCTTGTCGCCGATCACGCGCATCATCGATTGAGGAACCGCGACCAAGACCACGCCGTCGTCGCGGAAGAGGGCCATGCCAGTCCTGCACCGTGGATTACGAATAAGACGAGCATTAGAATCAGGATGACGGTTGAGGTGACCACGCGGACAAGATGATAAGGTCTGTGAATATCAACGGCATCGGCGAGGACTGTGGAGGTCAGGCTGAGGACGCGAACTCATAACCATTGAAACGGGGGAAGCCAGGTGGACAGGTAGGGCTATAACATGCTACGAACATGACGGTGGTGCTGCCGGTTCGCAATTTTGATGATGCTTCGGACAACGATTTCGTGAATGCGATGACCGGCAGAGTCTCCCTCCTTGCACTACGAGTTTGAGTTTGATCACGTCTTGCAGCATGGGCTACCCACAGAAAAAGCCTCATCCGGAAGATCATTGACACCTTCCCCCCCCCCCACTCCGCAAACCTCAGCAAGTCCTGGCTTCCGTGAGTGTGGCCTGGAAGCGCCAGTGCGGAGCCTCAGGGAGCTCGGGCATTCCCTGAGGGCTGAAGGTGCTTGGCCTCAGGGCTTAAGAACTTAGGGGCTCGGCGGTTTTGTTTTGTCTCCTGGGTTTACCCGTCTACGGCCGTCTGACATCCCCGAGCATTCAAGGATACATAAGCACGCAAGAGAGCTCGGAGGGCAGTGACCAGCAGGACCAAAGCCCACAAGCCTTTGCCCAACCTGCGGCTTACACGGCCAAGCATCAGGACAACAACCGCCTCATCACCATCTTCTTCCCCCAAAGGCACAACATGATCATGCTAATGGTGGTGGTGGCGATGATGGTGCGCACTATCATCATCAGCAGCAGCAGCCTCATCATCACTATCATCCTAAGCATCATCAGAACCCTTAGAATCCAGCGCATCCTCCCCCTACTCATCACGTCACTATCAGGTTGATCCGTGTCTCCGGCACTCCCAAAGCAAAGATGGAAAGGCTTAACGAAACCTCAGCAGAAATTCTGGGGGAAAACCGTCCTCACCACGAAATAATTTCCTGCAGGTCAGGATGGCCAACAAGTGCGGGGTTCAATGGAAAGGATATGGGGGTTTCAGAAAATAGGGGACCCTAGTATAGTACCCTAAATAGTAGGATCCTTATTATAAGGACCCCAACATAAGGTACCCCTTAATTAAATTTTCGGAAGCTCCCATATGATTGCTTGTGCACAACTGCCTGGGGGGTTCAGCACGGAGCATTGACGATGGGACACATGATCGGACTTCATATGCTCCTGGGTTTGGAGGTGGGGCACCTCGACACCTTCTCCAACATATCAACAGCACTATTGCCGCGGATGCTGTGCTGAATCGCCCCCTTGTCTCCCTTACGATTCTTGGGTCGCTTGTCATCCCTGCCCACACACACTTTCACCCTAAACTCCTCAGCGCTTCAAACCCAGCCTCGATAAGCTGAAGAACCACCGTCAGAGCCTCCCGGCCCTCCGCCTCCTCAAGGGGCTTCGAGCTTCCGGTCTGAAGGCCCATGCTCTCAGTGGTACTACCAGCGGTGTTTTCTATGACCGCTCCTGGCTCCTGATGTGGTTTGGTGTCGGTACCGTGTAATCTACTGAAACAGCCGCAGAAGAAGGGTGGTGGTGGTGGTGGCGCTGGCGCTGGGGCTGGCGCTGGAGGTGGCGGTGGTGGTGCTGCTGCTGCTGGTGGTGAGGGTGGCGGCGGTGGTGGCAGCAGCAGCCCGAGGAGGAGGCAGCAGCAGCAGAAGCAGTAACCATCAGCTGCCCTAAGGCCCTAGTATCAAAGTCTCCCTTCTTGCGGGATGTTCTAGAGATTTGTGTGAAACTACGATGGCAGACATAGCCATAAACCCTGTTACTCGCCCTATAAACAAAATTCCCCACCCATGATGCTTATGGCGGCGCTTCTGGCATTGTAGTACCCCTTAAGGCGAAAACTCCAGGGGTTTTGGCTGGTTCGCTGCTCCTGGGGCGTCGCCTGCCGCCACTCCACGGAACCGTAGGAGCTGCTGGCCTCGCTGGACTACCGTTTAGGGTTGAGGATGGTTTAGGGTTTAGGGCCAGTTTACGCCCTCACAACTCGGACTAGCCTGGCGAGGTTCAATAGGTTAGGGCCAGTTTATGGTTTAGATCAGGATTTAGGGTTAGTCTTACCATCACCCTGAGCACTGTGATGCTCTGGGATTTGTGTTCACAATCTAATCATTATCATCATCACCACCATCCGCAGTAAATAACTTGTACTCCTCGTAATTTGCTCGATTTCTCACGTACAGTTGTCTCCTGTAGCATACCTTACAGTACCTTACAGAAGCTTATATAATAAATACCTTACATAGTACCTTGTATACTACTTCCATAGCTTCTATTGGGACCTTCCCACGTCGGAGTTAGAGGACCAAGTGGACTCGAAGGGCACATTTGGTCATGAAGCTGGAGTCTGAGCTCCTGAACCCCCAAATACAGGGAGTATCAGTGGCACACGGAACCCCTAGTGAACAATACTACTAAATTGTCTCAGGCCCTAAAAACCCCATAAACCCTGAAAGCTAATCAACCAATACGACCGAAACTCCCAAGGCACCGGAAAAAGCGAAAGCCGAATCTCGTGCAGATCCACAGCCTTGAGATACTATATGGTATTCTTAGCGGTGCCACAAGGCTGATCAAACCATGTACGAAAATGTATTGTACAGAATATATAGGACACCGTATCCGACTACCCAACATCTCCGGCGTCATTGTCCTTGTCCTCCCCAACACCTGAACGAATGCATGAAAAGACTCTATCCAGTGGGTCTGAAGCCTACCGATACACCGAGGGCCTAAAGCCTTCTGCATCCAGGCCTGTGCGACTGCCGGGTACCCCTGAAGAAGTAAACTGAGGGCCCGAACCTCAGAACCCCCAAGCCACCGGAACTCTTGAACCCTTGGGACCATAAACCCTAAAGCCCTCAACCCTAACAAACCTATAAGCCCCATGAAACCCATAAATCTTAGAAACCCATCTTCTCCTGCGGAAGACCTCGTGAGGTCGGTCAAAGGTGATCAGGCCGTGGGGCCTCGAACACTCGGAGCCCTACGGAGCTAAGCCTTCAGGCTCTTCGGGTTCAAGCTTTAGTTTGGGGTTTATATATGGTTTAGGGTTTAGGGGTTATACACCCTCACAACTCGGTTTAGGGGTTATAGGGTTTCGGGGTTTAGGGTTTAGGGTTTATGGTGCAGCTCAGAGTCTTGCAGTCTAGGGCGGTCTCAGGATTCAGCGGTCTTGGGCCTTGGGGATCAAGGCTTTGAGTGAAGGGACTCACGGGTCTTGGGATGCCGGACTTGGAGGCCAGGGGGTTTTAGGTTCCTAAGTTTAGGGTTTAGGGTTTAGGGTTTAGGGTTTAGGGTTTAGGGTTTAGGGTTTAGGGTTTAGGGTTTAGGGTTCCTAAAGTCCGGGTCTTACAGTTTAGGGCTCACAGGTTCTGGGGTTACATGCTGCGCCCAATCCGAGCCTTGAGCCCTCTCGGAAGAAACCCTTGCAGTGCCGTCGGGGAAGGAAGCAAGTCCCATTATTGTTGGATATCTCTCTGCGCCTCTTCTTCGGCCCCATCAGCGGATCCGATCGTTCCCTGAATATCTAACGGTTTAGTGGTGACAACAACCATCATCAGCATCATCAGCATCATCAGCATCATCAGCATCATCATCATCACCATCATCATCATGTTGCTCTTTACCTTGGCTTTGTATCTTGCCAGGGGGCGCGAAGTAGCCCGACGTGAAGACCTTATTTTCCATCCGCACATCCAGATCTCTTCTCTTAGATCCTGTTCTGATATGACTTGTCAGGTTGGGTAGAAGCCCGCGGTTCAAAAATGCAGGCTCTCAGCCGACGTTTATAGCAAAACAAATAAACATAGAAAAAAAAACGATAAAACACTGCAAACAGACATCATACCTGCTGCCCAGACCGAGGACCTCGGCCCCTTAACACAGCCCCAAGAGATCCCTTTCTAGAGCCCTTTGAGGAAGCCTATCCTAAAGCCTAAAGCCTAAAGCCTAAAGCCTAAACCCTAAACCCTAAACCCAAACCCTAAACCCAAACCCTAAACCCTACACCGAACCCCCAAACCAAGGAGCCCCGGCCGGGTAGACGACCCAGGAGGAGCCTAGGAGAGACTCCTCTAAGCTCGGCATGGCCGCCGCTGGCCGGGGCAAAGGCTCCAGCCTCGGATGTCGGTTTAGGGCTTAGGGTTTAGGGTTTAGGGTTTAGGGTTTCGGGTTTCGGGTTTAGGGTTTAGGGTTTAGGGTTTAGGGCAGGCTCTGGGTTTAGGTTTCGACTCTCACTCTCGCACAAGGCAGGCAAGGCCCTGGGTTTAGGGCTCAGTCCTTGAGAGGGTCGGCCGTTGCAAGTTCAGGATAGAACCTCGCAGGACTAGCAATGTCCTGCCTCTTAAAAAAAGGGCGCACAAGCATGGAAACTGCTCCCCAGTTGAACCTAGTCTAGGAATCCAGGGTTGCATGATTTCCGCGGATCCTCAGGACAGAAACATTCTCATGCAAGCCCTAAACTTAGAGTTGGTCTAGGTTTGGTGAGGTGTTTAAAGGCGTTTAAGGTCCGACAGTAGTGCCTGCCTAGCCGCACCACTCCTTCCCAGTCGTTGATGCGGCTGCCGTCGTAGGACCAAGGCGGAGCTCGGCCGATAAAAGATCGGATCTTCACCAAACCGGATGCCACAGCTTCGTCGATTGCACGATGGACCCCAGCTGTGGTTCCGTAGTCATCCAGAACAATGGTTCGCACGTGAGGCAGGGCTAGTGCACGCTCCAGGTCGCTCCGCACACTGCCATAATCGTGTGCGGCATCGATGAATACTGCATGGATGGGTGTCTGGGAAAACAAGGCCCAGTCGTCCATGACACTATGGAATTTCATGTATACTACGTTTCGGAGGTCCTCGTTGCGAGCTGCATTGTTCTTCAGCACTTGGAGAGAGTTTTCCAAGGCCAGAACAGTGCCGAATAGCCTCGATAGGACACGAGTACAGTGTCCCAAATGTGCCCCAACTTCCAGAATGGTTTCATTGCGTGAGTTGTTGAACAGACTCACCAAGTCAAGCTTGAATTGCGAAGAGGTTGTCCAAGCATCCACGTTCTTGTCATGGAGCACCTGGCTGGGGAACTCGGTCTCGGAACGCAATCTCGTTCTTGGTGCGAACATCGCTAAACACGCGCTAAACTAAACTTAAACTAAACCCCGTCAGAAGGATCCCCGGACTTTCTGGGGCGAGCCACGTCTTTTGCAAGCCTCGGCTGTGTTGGGCGGCCCGATCACCACTTTCTGGAGTCAATGTAAACACATCTGCCTGTGATATATTGCTGCCAAATGTACATGCGTGCATATACACAAAATGATGTGACAGAGACATTCCTGCAAGCACTTTGCCCGGCATACTTCCAGACGGGGCTATGCGACTTAAACTCGGAGGGACAGACACATATCAACAATGACTTGTACACGACATACATACATACATACATACATACATACATACATACATACATACATACATCCATCCATCCATCCATGCATGCATGCATGCATGCATGCATGCATATACGTACATACATGCACACATACATACATGCATACATACATACACATCATTGCATGTATGTTGTATGCATATGTACACACCAACAGATAAAGACATATTCTTGTCTATGCATTTATGCATTATAAGCACAAACACAGACCCAAATTCAGGTAGGTAGCTCGGAATCCGAGGAGCTTGCCCAAGCAGCCAGAACAGGAAGCAGCCATGACTTCATCCAAGTGGAGAATCAAGTGCTGTGTTTTCGATTCTAGGATCCCATAAACAGGAGTACATAAATAAACCCTAGTAAACTCCTTCGTGAACCAGTGCCTTAAGGGCACCTTTAATGTGGACCCCAGTCTGCTCGGGCATCTGCTGGTATCCATCAGGTAGCCGCGACTCAAAGCTTGGAGGGTCTACTTCTAGCAGTTAAGGCTTTCAGTCTTTTTGTTTCGGGTCAAGGATAGCTCCTGCACCCCGTTTTGGGGAAATTTAACTAGGTAGCAACTAGGCTCAACGAGAAGATCAGCCGACATGTCGTCAGCTCACCTTCTACATTTTTCAGGCTTCGCTTCCCGTGCAGTGCTTGAGCAGAGCATCCAACAGCCAACTTGCCAGATTTGAGGCCTCAGAGCCCGGGACTACGAACCATATTGGGTGGTTGTCAAAATTAGGGTCCCTGTTTGGGTACCCTAAATATTAGGTGCCGTATCATATTACGGACCCAAAATAAGGGACCATAGTTTTGACAACCACCCATATCGCCATCATCTTGAGCGGTGCAAATGAAGATGTGTGGCGCAGGCCTGGGGCATATCATCAGGCACAAACAAAAGAAGATGCGCATGCCCATCAAAACACAGGAGACATAGCAAGAATCACGAGGTGCAGAAGCAGCAGCAAGCAATGAAAATACTCAAAGTCTCAACTTCCTCAACCCTCCCACCCTAAACCCCAAACCCTAAACCCTAAACCCTAAACCCTAAACCCTAAACCCTAAACCCTAAACCCTAAACCCTAAACCCTAAACCCTAAACCCTAAACCCCAAGGAGGCCTGCCAGGAGGTGTGCACGGCATACCAGCCTCCCGGCACGGTGGAGGCCGGCGCAAAGGCCTGGGACTGAGGACCCCCACAAATCAGGCCCTGCTTTGGTTTAGGGTTTAGGGTTTAGGGTTTAGGGTTCAGGGTTTCGGGTTTAGGTTTTTTTTTTTGACACCTCTTTTCCACCTGCCTGGTTAGTTAGGTCGAATGCCGGGTTTTTTTCCCACCCGCCCAGCTGACAAGTCGCACCGCAGGGACATTCGGGTTTAGGGTTTAGGGTTATAGGGCATTGAGCTTTTCTTCCTCAAGACAGATGCAGGGGCCAGCGGGCGCAATCCTCCCGAGTATACCGCACACCAGCGAATTTCCATCTTCAGGGTCCAGGGTGATGGGTTGTTGTCCCCTGAGCTCCGCTGACTGCGCTGCTTCTACTGCTAGTGGATTGGGCTCGGCTGCTGTAAACTTTGTAAGCACTCCCCGGGGTTTCAAGCCTCCGCTCCAACGAACGTTCATGTGCTCCATCAGGCTCGATCCTGATACCGTCGTAGACCCTGTTTGCAAAGCTCGAAAGCAGAGCCTTCCCAGATCGCCGAAGGAGACCCACGGCGGGATGTACGTTCCAGTGAACTCGCTGCCTGAATCTCTCAACCTCTCTCAACGTTGTTCTCTTTTCACCTCTACTACCCTACTCTGATCCTCACAGACCGTACGACCCTGTGCCCTCAACCTCGAGCGCCCAGAAAGTCCCCTTCTGAGACCCGGGCCGCAGCGACACAAGGGGCTTGCTGGTACCAGGAGCCTGTACCAGCATTGAGCATTGGGGGATTCGGGCACTCCAGGCGAGGTTTGTCCAAGTCTGTAGATCTACTCCAAGCTTTCACGGGTGAATGGGGCAGGTTCACTCGTCGCGTCCGAAGGTACAATGGTTCCAACACATGCAGCAGCCGGCCATGCTGTCTTTCTCACAGGAACTCACGTCGCACCGCGTTTGCGAGCTGTGCATTGGACAAAAAAGCAGGACGTCAAGCACAATCCATGTAGCTTGCACCTGCTTAGATCAACGTTGTGTTGATGCCAAAGCCAGAGCTGGCTCACAATCCAAGCTCAGCGCCGCATTCTCTCATGCAGCATTCAGGCTCGGAAGGCAAGACGTACCATGCAAAAGCATTCATCGAGCCCAGACCATTGCTCTCCTACACGGTTTAGGGTTTAGGGTTTAGGGTTTGAAGCTCTGCCCAAGCTCTCTGTGGCACGATAGTTAAGCATAGCGTAGACACAACAGCTTCAATCAACGAGTCAACAAGCTGGACTCATGCTGTGCAGAGACTGCACTGCATGTCGACAATCTTCAAGAGTCAAAACAGGAGGAACATGAGAGACATTGCCCTCGGGAAGGACCCAGCACTCGTTCAAAACTCAGGTGCTGGTCAAGAATGCTAATCCAGCCACTCACGCTCATGGCACGAAACATTTCAGGAAACCAATGTACAACCATCATACATCATATGCTCAGTTGTAGCATTCATTCAGTCGGTACTTTCAGCCATGATGCGTCTGCGGCCCGTCTATTCCTGGTGCTGTCGTCCCAGCGCAGTTGCACATAGCAGGTTCTACGATCAACAAAGCTCATGCTACAAGGGCTGCACTAGGCCCATCACGAATTGGCTCTAACAGCTTCCATCTTTCCAATAGCTTCCTGAGCAAGGACGATCATCACAGCGGGAATACGAATCATTTTATAAGGTACTGGGATGCCCCCTCGACATCTGCGGGTGGCTGACCACGGTAGCACAAAGCTTTCCAAATAATTGAAAAAGAGCGGTGCCGACATGCAAAGCGAAGTGCGCAGCCAGTGGCTGCAGCGCATGAATGCTTTGAACTAGATAAATTCGCAGGTCGTGCCGTGGACGGTTACGGCGATGATGATCATGGACATCTTACATCGTAGAGCAAGACTCGCAAGAAGCACCTCGCGCTGGTGCCATTTCGGACAACGCGTTGGTGACCTCCTCAGCTGAAGGTCGGTCAGACTTGTCCACGGCCCAGCAAGGCTCGATGATGCCACGCAAGACCTTGGGGCAGTCAGAAATGAGAGGACGTGGCTCCTTCTTCTGGCAGTACTGCTGCAGGATTACCTCCGGATCCAGCGTGAGGTGCTGGAAAGGTCGACGGCCAGCGCTGATGTAGTACATGATCAAGCCATAAGAGTAGATGTCGACCTTCTCATTGTACTCTTCGTACCTGACAACTTCTGGCGCCATGTACAAGTAACTTCCAACGCCGCCCGTCATCATGTGCTGCTCGGAATCAACTGTGGCCATCATCTTGCTGATCCCAAAATCGGTCATCTTGAGCTCCAAGTTCTTCGTGAGGAGCAAGTTGAGAGGCTTGAGATCTCGGTGCACGATGGGAACCTGAGTGAGTCGCCGAGAATATCTGCCCCAAAAAATTTAAACTTTCGGATTGGACAGTGATAGTACTACCCCCAAAAGTCTGAAATATACTAATTCAGCTGCCAAGGCACTCTAAAACCATGCAGAAAAGCCAGGCCACGGCCAATGGCGCAAGACCATTCGACCATACGCCACAAGGGAGGCTTCCAGAAAGCGACCTGGCACTTCTCTCTTTAAGGGGTTCGGAGAAGGCTACTATCAGGGCTCCATACGGGTTCCTTTCTAAGCGTTCCTGTACGGGCTGCTATGAGTTAGGGTTCTTTTTGAGGGTTCTATGACTTGGGGCTTTGCTGGAATGGGGATTTGGGCTGCCTCAGTCTTCTCTCGCATCTTGAGCATGTAGTTCTCCAGGTCACCTCCACCCATGAACTCCGACACGAACATGATCGGATGGCCCGGATCCAAGCAAGCACCCAAGAAGAGCACAAGATCCGGGTGGCGAAGAGAGGCCAAAAGGTCAATCTCATGCAACATCTCCTCCGTGATGTCATCTTCGAGCTCGGCATCTTCCGCTCGCTTCGGCGATGCCTTCTCGACCCCGCCGCCGAGCACCATGCTCTGTGACTTGCGCAAGTTCTTGACCATGTTTGACTGATGCATCTTGGCACACTTCACAACTACAATTGTGCCCTTCCAGTTTGCCAAGTGCACTGCACTCTTCAGCGTTTTGCCGATTTGCTTCCTGAGTACGATCTCTTCCGGCTTCAGGAGCCAAAAACTCTCCCGCGCACGAGACTCGAGCTCCTCGCGCTGCAACTTGGCTCCATGCTCCTCCAGCACTGCCTTCACGGCGAAGTTCCCAGCCCGCGACGAAATGTCCAAAGGGGTTTGGCCGAGACTGTCTGTGGCATTGGCTGCTGATCCGTGCTCCAGCAGAATGCGGACAACCTCTTGGGCACCTGCCGTGTTGATGCTACAGGCAACGTGAAGAGGAGTTTTTCCGCCATAGTCGGCAACATTGGGGTCAAGGTTCTGACTCAGAAGAGTCTTCACCTTGAGGCAGTCGCCGGCGGCCGCCGCATAGCAGAGCTTCATGGTGGCCAGCTGAATGGAATCATCCTCCTTTTCCTTCGTTGTGGGGGCAATCGCTTGAGTGCGACCCAACAATGCCGGCAGTGGCTCCTTCTGAGTCTCCGGAGCCGAGGAGAAGAAGGTCATCATGGCAACACCAATGAGCGAAGAAATGGAACGCGGAATGTTGCTGTCGCCGCACGCCTGAAACCTAGAGCCAAAATGACCACCGAGGGTCAAGGGTACACGGTAGTAAAGTGAGCTCTGCCTAGTTTTGTGTTTTCGGACACTTCCGCGCTGACAATCTGTCCAGGCTGTAGTTCTCAAAACTAATTAATTCTGTGCAACTGTGCAAGAAGCATGGCCACCAAAACTGGTTATCATCAAAACCAGCGGGGCGGATGGATCTGTCCTAGACCCGAAACAAAGCAAAAACAACGCATCCTAAACCCCCAGTACAGACCTGCCTGCATCCACATAGCCCGGAGGAGAGGGCCAGACGTGGCTGCCGAAGTCGGGCGTGGCCTGGGCTAGGGTGGCGAGGGGTCGAAGGAGATCAAACGAGATTTAGGGCTAAGGAAAAATTCTTGGGTTTCGGTGCTCACAACTCGGGCAGGCGAGGCACGTGCCTGTGGGTCGGAGGGGTGAGAAGTTACAGCACAAAACTCCATAACTACAAGCTGCTACCAGGGACATGCCAGTCTCAATCGATCCTGCTCCTGGAAGCTTGTCTAGCTGCGGACTTTCCGTCTCCAACCCAACTTGTCAACCAGGTCAGCCACGTTTGAAGGGGGTGAGAGGACTAAAGATGTGAACATCTAAAGGAGGCACCCTAAACCCTAAACCCCCATAAAGGAGCAGCTTCGGAGCCGAATTAGCCTCTGACCAAGTAGTAGATTCCAAGTAGATGTTTAGGGCAGCATACGGCTTGTGCTTTTTTACACGTACACTCGGACAAGACACGGTTTGGGGCTTCGAATTTACGGCAGGTATGAGAGGGGAATGCACTCCACTAGATCTTGGAAAAAATGGCACGATGTTGCTACAGCTACATAACTCGAAGCCTTTTGTTGATTGATTGAATTAAATGATGAACCCCCTGCCAGAAGCCGATGCCGCTGCTACGGCACTGCTCATGCTTCTGGCTAGTTTATGATTACAACGTGATGAAAAATTATAACATTGCAGGTGATCATGTTACTCATTTGCCAAATGCTTTGCAAGCCCTTATGAACAACCGCAAAAGGGTCCTGATGCAAATCCTTGCATAAGTATAAGAGCCCCTAAAGAAGCGGTTTTGTAGTTGACCGCGGGGTCTACCGCATTGAAGTACTTTCTCCCTCCAGCCTCCATGGCCTGAAGCGTTGCCAAACCATGGGCTCTGTATGCACGCAGGCCTCCACGGTAGGAGCACCACGAGGATGGGTTCTTGTTCTATGGATTTCGTGGCTTCGGCGCTCAAGTTGGGCGAAAACAGACTCCAGTAAGGAGTGAGACGACCGAAAGTAAGTGCAACCTGAAGAAGATCTCTCGGCCGGCCTGACATGGGCTACACTGCAAAGGTGAACCTACGAAGTTCCAGTCCCTTCTATGGATCAGGAAGACAAACCAATCAGAACACTACCACTAACCAGGCAGGTCGCCTCAGGCAGATGAGACAGGAAAATGAAATCAACACAGTTTCACTCGGCTGAAGTTAAGGACTTGGCGTTGTGGTTGGGGTCTAGGGCAGGGTTCATGGTTTAGCTTGAAGGTTGAGGGTTGCCGCACCACCGTTTCGCTGCAAGACTGACAGGCAGCCCCAGCACAGGATTTTGGCGTGTAATGAAAGTTGTACTAGCAGCAGCGGCAGCGGCAGGATGATGATGCTGAAGATCATCATGATGAAAATGGCGATGATAACGATGTCGATGATGTCGGAGCCACCGAAGGCTCCGACTCTTCCATGCGAAATCCTCGATCTGCAAGGCCTGACAAACCTCACCCCATCACAGCTAGTGTGTGAAACAAAGCCTGGCAAAGGTCCGATAAAGGCCTTGCCCGTGCCCCACCGCTCCCTCGATGCCGTTCCCACACTAAAGCCTTGTCGGCCACAGATACCGGATCCTCTAAGCACTAAGCACGAAATTGTTGCTCGAAAGCCTCGAACGTGTGCATATCGCCCGCAGCCGCGAATGGCAGCATTAGCACAAGAAAGAACCGAACGATCATCAGAATTTATACCAACTGCATGTTTGGTGTTTTCGTCAAGCTCTATTCATGCTACGCTTGCCGTTTGGCCAATCAACACCACCAGCATTTCGGCATCTGTTGTTGTTTGACTGCGACAGAACCAACATCAGGGAGCAAAAACCCTGCTCCCGGGCCTGCATCGTGGGCATTGGGAGCCTCCTGCCAGGAATCGCCACCCCCATGCTCAGCCTCAGCACGCGGCGGTGGCGGCGGGTGGCGGCAGGGCGGGGGTGGCGGCGGTGGCTGTTGTGATGACAGTGGCAGTGGCTGCGGCACAGCTGGTAGCTCATCATTGAAACCCTAAACCCTGCATCTCTCAACCTTTAAACATGATCTCAATCCGCTCGTTGGTAAGGGCCCCTTGAGAGGCCCCGCATGCATCTCTATGGCTTTCAGCGTCGCGAGGCCCTGCGCCCTGTAGGCAGCCAGACCTTCGGGAAGATCGTCGTTAAGAGTTCGGGGCTTCCGGGCTTGGAGCTGTAGGGCTTTCGGCGCTCACACTCGGACAAACCAGGCGAGGTCATGGGTGCTCAGGTTGGCAGGTTCAGAGCTTCTGAGCTTCAGCCTTGTTCATTGCTTCTGGTTCTTTGGCTTGGGCTTGGCGGCTTCTGGTCGTACCTTACCGTTACCGTCTTCGACTTGCCATGCGAGATTCGGTTCGGGGCACCTCTGCGGCTACTACAATCAGACTGTCCAGCAGAGCACTCGGCTGGAGGACACACCTTCGCCACCCCGATCACCCTACTACTTAAACCCCCCCACCCCTGCCATACCATACCCGTACCCATCACCATACCCTACCCACACCCTGACTTCTACCACACCATACCATATGCATGTGTGCTAGGTCTATCTATGTCCCTCGTCGCCTGCAGACACCCCCTTCTTGTCGCTCATGTTCTTTGTGGGTGCTTGAAGGAAGCTGGGCCTCGGTATCGCAAAGCACTGCCCCGTTTTTTGGAGTCCTGAAACCTGTTCGGTGTAACATAGGGGCCGCAGTAGTCTCAATAGGGACTTTGTATAATTCTGTAGATCAGCCCTTACAGAATAGCATTGCTACGGTAGTTATTCAAATCTGCCTTGCATTCTGGGGGTTAGGCGATGTGAGGTGTTGGCATTTCGGGTGTGGGGTTAGGGGCCTGCGGGCCTCGAGAGATTTTTTCAAATCAACTCCACCTTCAGAGATGGCTCCTGCAGCCCGACAGGCCACAACATCCACTTCTGTTGCTCTCCCGAACCTTCCAGCCCCACAGCAACACCGTGATTTTCGCTTTATGTTCGAAGGTTGCTCTTCTGAACTATGGTCGACTAGGATGACTAGGAGTCCAGAAGCCCTTCCTCCATGATCATGTTGACAGCATAGCCTCAACCAAAAAAGAAACGCGAAGGGGGGAATCCCCAAAACTTTGACCACGACCTCCTGACCCTGTAAACAGTAACCTGACACAAGTCTACAACACCCCGATCGTGACCGCTCTAAGCCCTTTTTTGCATCAGGACTTGCGCAATCGCCTGCTCCAAGCCCTTTTTTGCAACAGGCCTCGTTGTCCAGCAGCCCGGTCTAGCCAAAACCCGCAAACCCTGAGCCCTAAACCTTAACCACCCCAAAACCGAGTAGCTGTTCGGACGGCTCCTCCCCGGCCGGAGATTCCGGGGCAGCACTCGGCTGGGTCCGCCTCGGCGTCTCTCGCTGGCCGACGTGAAACAAGAGTCGATGTGCGACTAAACATAAACATGCGCGCGTGTATACAGTCTATCTATCATTGTGTTATATATATATATATATATAAAATGTGTGTGTGTATGTATATATATATATATTTTTTTTTGCTTTTTAGCACGCGCGCTCGACTAGGTCAGGCGAGGATGATGGCAGCAAACATAGCAACAGATGCTATAATAAATACACGCTGTGGGCATGCATGCACTTGTGCGTGCATAGTTGTATGTGTGTGCATCTGGACTTGCATGCAGAGTTATAAACAAATAGAATCAACAAAACAAACACATAAATATATTATATTGATATATATATATATACATATGTATCTACATATACATACACGTACAAACAAACTTACAGACATACACACATACCTACCTACCTACCCACCCACCCACCCACCCACCCACCCACCCACCCACCCACGCACCTACCTACCTACGTACCTACCTACGTA